TATATTATATATTTATTATTTATATATATTTATTTATAATTATATTTATTATTCATTTATTATATATTATGTATTTATTATTTATATATATATATATTTTTATAATATAATTTATTTGTAATTATATTTATATATATTTATTATATTTAATACATAGATAAATATATTTTATTAAGTATAATGATTATAAATAGAACAAAATATATTATATACATAAATACTATGAACTATATATACTATTTTATCATCAGGTATTGATTAGCAAAGGGACTGTGTGTGAATATTAGAAGAACTCTATCGTCATTTCAGCAAATTTTATAATTGACATTAATAAAATTGTCAAATCGTTTTCACATCCACGTATTAATATAATTTAAAAGTTTAACGATAATTTCGTTATTTCAATACCTCAGGAAATATCATGCGATGATGATATTTTAACGATGACCTTGAATTAACGACTCAAATCTAGAAGCACACCATTGTCAGGGATCATTTGTCACCGCCAGTGTTCCCAAGTTTTGAAGATCACTCGCTCGCTGGTGATCATTTGCTCCGGTTCGCGACAGATGAGTTCGTTCCGTCAAAGGGTATGTCGCGGAAGATTTGCAGACGGGGCCATTCGTCCCTTTTTAATCACGATGAAACACGTCGCGCTCCGCCGTCTTATTCCTCTTTGTCTCTCCTCCGTTTCTTCGTCCTATTCTCTGAAATAGGTTCGAGTCTAACCGGAACGGAAGAAAGAGAGAGAAAGAGAGAGAGAGAGAGAGTACGAAAAAGAATTTCAACTATTAAATTATAGAAAATTACGCTTCCCTGGACGTCGCGTTGTCGGACCCTGCTTTTTCTTCCTGTCGTTTCTCTCGCGCCAATCCTTTAACCCTCCGTCGTTTCTCCTTTATTACCTTCGATTCCGGACTAGAATCATCACCCACCCATCTGCCCAGCCCTCGTAGGAGTTATAATTGCGAACGGGGACCGTTCCAGAGGGATCGTTACCCTCTTCTTACTTTCCTCCTCCTCCCCCCACCCCCCTCTTCTGTCTTCCATTCCCTCGACGACTACTTTGTTATGATCGGTCCAACTTATAACTCCCGTCATCGACGCGTTTCCCATTCGAGAATAATTGGTCATCGTGTATTCCTCGTTTCATTCTGCGACTCGCTCTCCGACTCGCCCGACGGTGACTAAAACTTATATTCCTGTCGCTTTCGTCCGATCGTGATTGCAATCGATGCTTTTGTCCTATTTGTTCTCATTGCTGTCAGGCTATTTTTCTTCAGCTTCTTAAGACACGTTCGAAAGCAGTTCCAATCGACTTTCAGTTCCATTCAATTCAATTTTTTTTAGGAACAAACGATTTAATTAAAATTTTTTTACATTTCCCTCTGCATTGCATTTGTATTATATCGATGCGTTATATTAATAACAGAACGCGTTGCTATGTTTTTGATATCATTACGTTATTATAAATTCTGTGTTTTCTCTATTTATTGCCTACAGAAAAATTTGCAAATTAAATTAAATTAGTTTCTCATTTTGCTGATCTTGTATTAAAGTGGAAATTTGAGGTTAAAAGATAAAGTAAAGGTATTTCTAAAATTCACAAATCAATAAATAATTCAATTTTTTTTTAGAAATAAATGTTTTACATTTCTCTATTATTTTATCAAGTATTCGTATTTTGCATTTGTATTGTATTAATGTGTCATGTTACAGAACGCGTTGTTATGTTTTTGATATCATTACGTTATTATAAATTCTGTGTTTCCTCTATTTATTGCCTACAGAAAAATTTGCAAATTAAATTAAATTAGTTTCTCATTTTGCTTGTATTAAAGTGGAAATTTGAGGTTAAAAGATAAAATAAAGATATTTCTGAAATTCGCAAATCAATAAATAATTCAATTTTTTTTTAGAAATAAATGTTTTAATTAAATTGTTTTACATTTCTCTATTATTTTGTTAAGTATTCGTATTTTGCATTTGTATTGTATCAATGTGTCATGTTACAGAACGCGTTGTTATGTTTTTGATATCATTACGTTATTATAAATTCTGTGTTTTCTCTATTTATTGCCTACAGAAAAATTTGCAAATTAAATTAAATTAGTTTCTCATTTTGCTGATCTTGTATTAAAGTGGAAATTTGAGGTTAAAAGATAAAGTAAAGGTATTTCTAAAATTCACAAATCAATAAATAATTCAATTTTTTTTTAGAAATAAATGTTTTACATTTCTCTATTATTTTATCAAGTATTCGTATTTTGCATTTGTATTGTATCAATGTGTCATGTTACAGAACGCGTTGTTATGTTTTTGATATCATTATTATAAATTCTGTGTTTCCTCTATTTATTGCCTACAGAAGAATTTGCAAATTAAATTAAATTAGTTTCTCATTTTGCTGATCTTGTATTAAAGTGGAAATTTGAGGTTAAAAGATAAAATGAAGGTATTTCTGAAATTCACAAATCAATAAATAATTCAATTTTTTTTAGAAATAAATGTTTTAATTAAATTGTTTTACATTTCTCTGTTATTTTATCAAGTATTCGTATTTTGCATTTGCATTATATCGATGTGTTATGTTCCAAAACGCATGGTTATGTTTTTGATATCAGTACGTTATTATAAATTCTGTGTTTCCTCTATTTATTATCTACAGAATTAAATTAAATCATTAGTTTCTCATTGTGCTGATTAAATGACAAATTAAAGTGGAAAATTGAGGTTAAAACATAAAATAAAGATATTTCTGAAATTCACAAATCAATATTCTACTTTCATTTACAAGTCTACTTTAAACATTCAGGTAACGAAATAAATCCAAATTTCCACAACAAGATCCTTCTATCGTCGAGTTGCTTATGAAAACAATCCAGTGATCGGCGATCGGGGTATCAGGGCAATTATTCAAATTGCGCGTTAATATCAACGCCGGTCCCTAATATCCTCGGTTTATATTAACGCGTCGGACTAATTATAACGGGTCACGTCCCGGCGATTAATTCATTTTCCCTAATCAGGCCGACAGAAATGTTATGTACGAAATGAATCGTAGCCGGAGGCAAGAGACAGACGTGGAGTATCAAAATGCATGCTCGCATAATTAGTCTGTCCTGCGCTAAACGTCGTTTTCACACTCGAACTCGTTCTTTTATCCGTTCGATCGCGTGTGCCGCTCGACTAATGATTCGTTGCAATTCGGCTAATTAGTTCGAATTTGCGGCCAGCCTTGGTTAGGACGATTACGATCCACGTGTAATCGCGCCGCGTACCTTTCACAGATAATGACGGAAGCGACGACTCTGAACTGCGAATCGCTTGTAATTATCATGCCTCGTTGTCACCGTTTCAACTAGATTGTTCAATGATTATATTTCATGCACCGCGGCGACTTAACTTCATGGTTGTTAACTTCATGCTCTGGTCAGATGAGCAAATTCATCGCCGCGTGTACAACCTGGCTAAATTTCGAAATTTGTCACATTTATCAATTGATTCACTTGGAGCTGTAACAAATGTTAGTAATCATATTTTTGAATTGATCTGTTTTATTAACCCATTTAAATTTGATAGATCTGTATCGTCGAAGTTTATATGAACTGATTATTGATGTGATTGTCTAATTAATTTGTATAATTTTTAAATTGTAATATTGATATATTGAAATATTTATTATTATAATAATATTGAAATATTTATTATTATAATAATATTGAAATATTTATTATTCTTTGTTAATATTAATATTATAATAATAAATATAAATAATATTAATAATATTTAATAATAATTAATATTTAATAATAAATATAAATTAATATTATAATAATAATTATATTTATTATAAATTAATATTATATTATTTTTTGTTAATATTAATATTTGTTAATACCTATTATTATAATAATATTGAAATATTTATTATTCTTTGTTAATATTAATATTAAAGTACAAATATTTTATATTTTATATAATATATATATATATATATATATATATGTATTATATATTATATTTTATATTATATTTTTGAATGTAATACAAAATTGTACAGAATGCATATACATATATGAAATACATAAAATATCCAAGTGTAATGCTTTTTATAATAACTGAAACGTAAAACAATTTTTTACTGAGCACCCACTTTTTTTAATTATGTTTTTAAAACTACGAATTTGCATAAACATCCTCAATTTAACTATAATATATACATCAAATATTAATAAATATAAAATTTTTGGTTAATCGCTATCTGTCGATTATTTTGCGTTTGATGATATAGAATAGACATTTGTAAATATTCTACTTTATGATGAAAATGGGTTAATTGACATATTTTAAGATATTAAATATGACGTTGTAAGTTATATATAATAATAAAATAATAATAATTTAAGTTATAATATATTTGTAATTAAATATAAAATATAACTGAATAGTAGAAATCGAACCTTCCTTCTTATACAGTATGAAGCATAACTGAATCAATAACGATGAAAAATTGTCAGTATTTTAAATATCATAATTTTATTAAAAAAAAATCGTATAAAAGTCCATTTCGCTTAATTTATATATATACAAGGTGAGACATTATTGTTTAACATATATATTTATATTAAAATTTTATTAGTATTAATTTTAATATATTATGAAACTATCAACTAATATTTCACATTTCATTACAAATATATATGTTAAACAATAATATCTCGCCTCGTTGTCCGAATATTTAAATCATTACATTTAAATTACAATTCTAATATTTCCTTCCATGATCATAATGTTCATACCATATCATGATCCTTCATATTTCATGCATCAATAAAATAACGTATCATACCAGACAGATCATATATAACAAATCATATCATAAACCATTCGTCTCATAATTCTGATACCTATTCGTCATTTATTTCTGTCCGAAACCTTTCAATTTTCATTCTTTCGGCGACGTGGCCCTTAACGATGGATATTTTCTTGATTTTCAGAGCACACCTGCAAAGACTTCCGGTGCACGCTGAACGAATTCTGCATCGAGACGGACCTCCTTTGTGACGGCGTGAATCACTGCGGCGACGGCTCCGATGAGGCTACCTCCACCCTCTGTGCCAGTAAGTTCTAATTACCAGCGATTCATTTTAGGGACTCTCCCCAGTGTAGGGCTCAGGTCCTTTCATATTTCAAATGAAATACGCTGCGGGCAAATTGATTCGTAATCGAACAGCGACGGCGGCACCGGGTCGCCGAATTCTCGTTGAATGCTACTTAAACCTCGACTGGTACGTTTTTTAATGGATTTGACGATTTCAATTCTCCGCGTACATACGGCTGAAATTTTATCGAACAGCTAAATGAAAAAATTTTGCAATTCACTCTGGTAAACACGTTCGAAACGTACGATTACTGTATGATGATCATTGCACAGATCGGTTGTGAAAATTAGTAGTGGTTTTAGTGATAAACTCTTATTCTTTTGTGTTGTGTTAATTAAATCGAATTAAATTTATAGACTATTAGTAGTATTTATATAAATTTAAAGACTGTTAGTAGTAGTTTTAGTGATAAGCTCTTATTCTTTTGTGTTGTGTTAATTAAATCGAATTAAATTTATAGACTATTAGTAGTATTTATATAAATTTAAAGACTATTAGTAGTATTTATGTAAATTTAAAGAGTATTAGTAGTATTTATATAAATTTAAAGACTGTTAGTAGTATTTTTAGTGATAAACTCTTAGTCTTTTGTGTTGTGTTAATTAAATCGAATTAAATTTAAAAAATATTAGTAGTATTTATATAAATTTAAAGACTATTAGTAGTAGTTTTAGTGATAAACTCTTGGTCTTTTGTGTTGTGTTAATTAAATCGAATTAAATTTATAGACTATTAGTAGTATTTATATAAATTTAAAGACTATTAGTAGTAGTTTTAGTGATAAACTCTTAGTCTTTTGTGTTGTGTTAATTAAATCGAATTAAATTTAAAAACTATTAGTAATATTTATATAAATTTAAAGACTATTAGTAGTATTTATATAAATTTAAAGACTATTAGTAGTATTTATATAAATTTAAAATTTATTAGTAGTATTTTTAGTGATAAGTTATTATTCTTTTGTGTTGTGTTAATTAAATCGAATTAAATTTATAGACTATTAGTAGTATTTATATAAATTTAAAGACTATTAGTAGTAGTTTTAGTGATAAACTCTTAGTCATTTGTGTTGTGTTAATTAAATCGAATTAAATTTAAAAACTATTAGTAATATTTATATAAATTTAAAGACTATTAGTAGTAGTTTTAGTGATAAACTCTTATTCTTTTGTGTTGTGTTAATTAAATCGAATTAAATTTAAAGACTATTAGTAGTATTTATATAAATTTTAAGACTATTAGTAGTAGTTTTAGTGATAAGCTCTTATTCTTTTGTGTTGTGTCAATTAAATCGAATTAAATTTAAAGACTTGGATTTAACAGTGTAACAGAGTAGAAGATTTTGGTGTATGATCCGAAAATTTCATTATACCAAATACTTTTATTTTTTTGTCAGTTTAAACGTAGAAGAGTTTATCGTACTATGTTGGAAAAATTTATTGTAGATATTTGGAGTAGAAGATTTCATAAAGTAAAAATCACGAATATTTCATTTACAAATTAGAAATTCAATAGTCCGAAACTATCGGAAAGTATAATATGTCTCATGTTATAAATTCAATCAGATATTTTGATAAATTATATTTAATATTTATTCCGGGTTTTAAAAAATCCTAATGAAGATATTTTCATATCACATTGGCAAAGAATCATTGAATTCTTTCTGAAAGGATTCTGCCTGGACTACGACTTCTGGCTTTTTAAATTGAATTTGGAAACTTGAATTTCCATACATAAAATTAGAATCTTTTATGCGTTCCAATGAAATTTAAAAGTAATATAGAAGTTAAAGTAAGAGATGTATGAATATTACGAAAAATACGAATATTTTATTTAGTATGCTGATGAAGTAACATAGTTTAATTAAAAAGTTTAAAAAGTAGAAATTCATGAAAAGGTAGAAATTCATAAATATAAAAAGTATTACTTCTGTCACAGAATCAATCAAGATAATTTAATAAATTGTATTTTATGCTACTTTTTCGAAAACGAAAAGTCTATCGTTTTTATTGAATATTTGTATATATATATTATCCACTGTTAATTAGAACTATCTTTCATTTAGCTAACAATTTTTTCTCTGTTATTAAAATATTGAGACAGATTTTTGTAATTTTCTTAATGTCAAAAAGTTTCGTGAACATTTGAAGGAATTATCAATTTGTTCAAGAAAAACTGTGAAAACTGTTTCAGTCGCAAATATTTGTATTTGATATATGTATTGTACTTTGTCAGAAACTTTTATGTTTTCTTGATCTTTTTCTCAATAACAATAAATTTTTCTAACATAGTACAATAAACTCTTCTACGTTTAAACTGACAAAAAAAAAAATAATAATAATTTCTCAATAACAATGAAATTTTCGGATAAAATCATGTTTTTAATACTATTTCAATATTAAGAATACTTTTTTTTGATATTATAATATCTAACATTTTCACCACAGCAAGTAGCTACATTCTTTCTATATTTCGAACCATTTGTTTCAACACATTCTCATTATTTTATATGCTATTTCAGTTGGAAAAGTTATGTCTACCACACTTACAAACATTGATTTTTACCACATACTTCCTTGTTATTTTTTAAATAAAATCTTCTATCTCATATTTTGTAATATGCAGTAAAATAATTTAAGGCAAGAAAATGCATCTAGCACTACTAAATTTTCGTATATAATACACGTATATAATACACATATATTCATATAAAACTGACGACAGAGCTTTTCAATTTGATATATTAAAAGTACTCTTCTTTCAGAGAAGATGCATTCAATCAGTTAGATTTTATAAGGACAAGAGAGAAATTTATTGAAAGAACGTTACCAGAATCCAATTAATAAGAATTAATTCCACACCTTACGATTTTCTTTTCAATTTTTTAAATTTAAAATTCGAAATTGAAATTTCCGAAAATCTGCAATTTATTTTTTCTTTCAAATCAAGGCCTATGAGTACGAAAATGTAAACATCACGTATTGGTATCTCATAACGAGCTGGCATTTTTAAACTTTCACCATTTTTCCGATTGAATTCTTTTTCCAAACAATCACTGTAATAATACTCTGGATAAACTGATAATCTGCTGTTATCCCGTACAAAGGGAATTTCAAGGAAAAACAAAATATAGAAAAACGATAAAACAGGGAATAGTCTAGGTCAGCGTTCGCCGTTTCACGAGAAGCATTTTAATCAATTTCTGTTCCCCGTCAATCGACGGCATTTCATTCCTTTTACATGGAAAATCTATTTTAGCATCAGACTTATCGATTATGGTTCACGTTTGAAACGACTGATTGAAGCAGCTTCATATTAATTCTACACTTGAGGTATTTTGTTTCAAAGTATTAAACGAATTTATAGGAGAATTAATCATTCTGTTTTCATCAAATGTTGTTAAATGTCCTGTGTTTTCAAACTCCATCTTCTATTCTAAAATAATTCTTGTAATTCCAATGTTGGAGCAAATGCATGACGAGTTTTTCTGAAATATTTACGTTCTGTTTTCTCTTCTTTCTCTGCATCTTTGCGGTTTCTTTATGTTAATTGACACGTTGAATGCGACGGTGATTATTTTAATTAAAGTTTTTATGAATATTTTACAATAATCATAACAAGACGAATGTCTTGATGTAACGTAAATAACTGGATAATATATCTATAAAATCAAAATGTACGTTTTAATATATTCATTCACATATAGTGCAACATGTTATAATTTTTAAACAATTAAATTTATTTCTAACAAACGAATCAATTATTTTATTATATATCACTCTGATACAGATTAAACATTCAAAAGACACTCAAAATATTATAACAGGAGATATTGTATAATATATTGTGCAACTCATACTACTTTCATACTCGAGCTAAAATAATCGCTGCAATTTAAATATTTCAACAAAGTATAACATAATGCTGACTAAACTAAGTATTGACTTAAGTATTATAATAGAAAGTGTCATACATTATGCAATTTGCGCTATTTTCGAATTTCCATCATGAAATAGTTATTGCAGTTTCGATGTTTAAGCAAAAAATGACAAATATTTTTTGTCCATTACTCTTTTTTTTCGTATTGCCTTTCTTTAAATGATTTACTTTTTTACGTTAGTTAATATATTAACAGATTGATAATTTTAATTTATATATCATTAAAATATCATCGATATTCATCAATATAAAATGTTAATCATAAAAATAATGGCATTAATATTATTATTGTTATTATATACTTGATTATTATTATATTATATAAAATATTATATATAGTATCATAAATTTTATTATCTATCTGAAACAAAGTTAAATAACATAAATAATTAAATAGTGAAATCTTTCATTTCATTTTCATTATAACATATTTTATAAAAATTGAGTATTCTCTACCATAATATATATAATCAAAATATACTTTCACATAACAGTCAACGTGTTTAATATTATAACAGAAAGTATGTATTGTACATTCAAACTTTGAAATTCAATCTTTTTTTAAAATAATTAATGCATTTTTAGTGTTTCAGTGTTTAAACAGAATATGACAAATTGCAGTTTCTTTTCTCTTTTCGTACCTTCTTTCTTTCACAGTTTCTTAATGATACCTTAACGAGTATCTTGATAATAATGATAAAATTGCAAAAGATGTGAAAAATTAAACAGTTAATGTCAGTAGTAAGTTATTTAGCAATGCAAACATTTGCATAACAATAAAATTCATTTGGGAAACTGGCAGTGAGTAGTGAATAATTAGGAGATGCACGCGTTACATATCATTCGGATGTATCATCAGTCACCTACATAATGAATAATTAATATATAGCTAATGATTTCATTGCAATAATTATTTGCCTGTCTTCGTGATTGGTATTTATTACGCTATTATGAAACAGCATGTTGCTTGTCAGAACGTAATGTTCATCATAAATTTCAAATCGTTTATAACGTGCCAA